TTTGGCTCGGCATTGCATTTACGGTCAGGGCAGAGGCAATTACGCCCGTAATTGGGCAGGGGATGCCCGTATTTCTTCCTCCGCTCCTATTTAATGCTTCGTTTCTCCCTCGTCCGGACTCCGAATCAGTCGCCGTTTGATCCCAGACGCTCGTAGTCTCATCCTCTTTCTTTTCATGACAAGATTCCATGATTATTTGTCCATAATATGAGGTAGAAATCAAATCTTCCTCAGGTCATGCTCGTGTTTCTTCTCCCGAATTGCCAAATAATCTCCGATTGACTTGAAACTTGCGCTTATGCTTCAATTTACATACTAGGATCTGAAATGTGACAAAGGAACACAACCTAGCATAAAATAGTCCAAGAAAGCAAAAACTCAAGCCAAAATGATCAAGAAACGAGGGTGCAAACATGTGCAAATACGACGTTATCAATAGGTGCTACTAAAAGAGATGCTAAGGATATGGACATTGATCAGGTGGATGAGTTAACAAAATAAGGAGTTGTTGTAGATGGGAAAAAACAAAAAACTGAGAAATTGGTTGGTGGAGAGGCAAACTCTGCAGTGAAGCAGGGCTGCCCAGCCCAATGAGGATCTTTAGTTATCATTGTCGGGGGTTGGGGACTCCCCTGGCAATTAGAAGAGTGGGGCAGCTGCTCCACCGTACAAATCCCCAGCTAGTCTTCTTAATAGAGACTAAAAAGAAGGAAAATGAATGGGAAGAGGTTATGAAGGAATTGGGTTGGGAGAAAGGACGAGGAATGGGTTCAGATGGAAGGAAAGGAGGACTAATGCTTTTGTGGCAGAAAGACCTTAATGTGACAGTCAAATCCAAGTCCTCTAATCATATCGATATATGCATAGAAGAGGAGGGCATTAAGATGGCAATACACATGCATCTATGGATGGCCTGAACACGGCAACAAAGAAAGTACATGTGTCTTGATACGTCAGCTTAAGGATATGACAACCATTCCTTGGTTAATGAGTGGTGATTTTAATCTGATACAAGGATATGAAGAAAAGTATGGCCTGACTATGCCAGATGCAAGGGAGATGGAAATTTTCAATGATGATCTAGACTATTGCCAGCTAGCAGATCTCGGATACTATGGTAAGCCCTTCACTTGGGCAAACAATTACACTGATGAAACTTACTTGGAAGAAAGATTAGACAGAATGGTGGCAACCTCAGATTGGCAGGGACTCTTTCCCCATGCAAGGGTACATCATCTTAGGAGATGTGGGTCTGACCACTACCCAATTCTGCTACAAACGGATCTGATGGAAGAGGAGGTGAGGTGGGGATGACACTTTAGATATGAACCATATTGGCAGGACCATGCTGATTGTAAACAGGTCATCGCAGACAGTTGGAATTCAAGTGGAGGACTTTCAGTACTGGATAAGCTGTCCTACTGCGAGGGAAAGCTAAGTTAGTGGAGCAAGCAAACTTTTGGTGATCTACGTCAAAGGAAAATTAAAGCAGAAAGAGCTCTGGAAATACTAGAGAATAAGAGATCAGATGCCTCGGTAATCTTACAAAGGAAAGCTATTGAAAAGAGCTGAATGAAATCTTAATGCAAGAAGAACTGAGATGGAGGCAAAGATCCCGAGTTGATTGGTTGAAAGGAGGAGATAAAAACTCAAAATTCTTTCACAAGAAGGCCTCCGACAGAAGAAACAGAAATATTATCCGAAAGTTGATCGATGAGGCAGGAAGAAATAGAGAAGGGCAGCAGCAGGTTTTTGAATGTTTAATTAGCTACTACAAAACTCTTTTTGCCGCAGGAGAATCTATATCTTCGAAAAGAATCATCGAAGCTATCCCAAGGAAAGTAACACAAGAAATGAACGAAGACTTGCTGAAACCAATTACACAGGAGGAAATTTGGTTTGCTTTGAAAAAGATGGGATCCCATAAATTCCATGGTTCGGATGGAATGTCGGCCCTATTTTTTTAAAAGAACTGGGAGACTGTTGAGGGAGATATAACCAGAGAGCTACAAGGTTACTTCAGTCAAGGATCTTTCCCCCAGGAGCTCAACCATACCTTGCTGGCTCAAATACCAAAAAAGGAGGTGGTCTCTCCAATGGACTTTGGGCCTATTAGTTTGTGCAGGGTGCTATACAAAATCCTCTCAAAGGTCCTTGCCAACAGACTTAAAGGAATCTTAAATTAGGTCATTTCAGAACAGCAGAGTGCTTTCGTTCCTGAAAGATTAATTACATACAATGTAATGATTTTTTTGAGTGTTTTCACTCGTTGAAGGGCAGAAAGCAAGGAAAGAAGGGGTTTAGTGGACATCTCCAATGCATACGACATGGTTGAGTGGTCCTTTTTGGAAGCAGTAATGAGGAAGTTGGGGTTCGACGACAGGTGGATTGCAATGATTATGACTTGTGTTTTAACAGTATCCTATTCGATCTTGGTCAACGGCCATAAGACAAAGACTTTTTCCCCGACAAGAGGATTTCGACAAGGGGATACCATATCACCCTATCTATTTCTCTTTGTGGCGGAAGGATTATCTGCTCTACTTTCAAAGGCAGAGAGGGATAAAAAGATTGAAGGAATACGAGTCAAAGGGGAAGCACCACCTATATCCCACCTACTTTTTGCAGACGACAACGTGCTGTTCTCAAGGGCAACAAGGGCGGAATGTCAAGAAATACGAAACATCCTTAATCTCTATGAAGAGGGCTTGGGGCAGAAGGTAAATCTTGTTAAATCTGAAATATCTTTCAGCCCTAATGTGGATGATGCTTTGAGACATGCATTGGTAAGTGGTTATGGGGATGCAAGCAGTAGAGTATCATGCGAAATATCTGGGACTACCTACGGTTGTGGGAAGGCAGAAGAAGGCTGTTTTTTGCCATCTAGTGGACAGAGTAAGAAAGAAAGTGAATTTATGGAAAAGCAAGCTTCTATCAAACGGAGGGAAGGAGGTTATGATTAAAGCAGTGGCTCAAGCTAAAATGACATATGCTATGCATGTTTTTTTGGTCCCACAGAATGTTCTAAATGAAGTACAAAGCTTGCTATCTAACTTTTGGTGGGGGCAAAAACAACAAGAACACAGAACACACGGGTTAAGTTGGAAGGAGCTTTGCAGGACTAAGGAAAAATGAGGATTGGGATTCAGAAATCTGCACGATTTTAACCTAGCCCTTCTCAACAAACAACTTAGGAAGATAATCCAGAACCCCATGTCTCTGGTGGCTAGAATATTAAAGGCCAAATATCATCCTGACAGAGAACTATTAGAGGCAGAATTGGGAAACAACCCAAGCTATGTTTGGTGTAGCATTCTCGCTGCTAAAGGAATACTGAAGGAATGTCTCAGATGGAGAATTGGCAATGGAGATAAGGTAGACATTTGGATTGATAAATGGGTTTCTACTTCCCCTACTCTAAAGATCATTTCCCCAGTGTCGCAATTTGCCCCAAATACATCAGTCAGTGAACTAATAGATGCAGAGACAAGAAGCTGGAAAATAGATATTCTCCAAGCTCATTTATGTCTAGAGGACAGACATCGAATCTTGAGCACGCCTATCCCTCGAGTCCCGACGGAAGATTGCGGAATCTGGACCCATGAGAAATCGGGTATCTACTCGGTGCGATCAGCCTACCACTTTTGGCGGAACAAACAAGAAGAGGAACTGGGAGAAATCTATACCCCTACCAACTGGAAATGGTTCTGGAATCTTCCCATTCCCCCGAAGGTGAAGGTATTTGGGTGGAAATGGATTCACAATATTATCCCCACAGGGGCAAATATCGTAGATAGAATGCAAAAAGGATGTGATGAATGCCCATTTTTTGGCAGAGGGAGACACATATTCACTTGTTTTAAGATTGTGGTTGGGTTCGTCGAGTTTGGCGCCCTAGTTCACTAAATCACCTATTCAAGAATGGAACAGATCTCACCTGTGAAGAATGGCTGGTATTGCCGCAAGAATCCGAGGCTGATGAAGCAATCTGCCAATTTTTGGTGGCTCTATGGTTCATCTAGAACGAGAGAAACAACCAGATGTGGAATAAGAAAAAAATGGAGGAGTATGAGATCATTAACCGAGCGGAGAGATGGTTAGCTGAATACCTGGAATATCAATCATCTTCGACGGTGACTCCGATGTGAATACCTCCGAGCTGGGCACCTCCGATTTGCGCTAACTACAAGATAAATGTTGATGATGCAACTTGTTTACAAGTAGAAGGTACATGATTCAGAGTGGTGGTAAGGGATAAGAGCTTCAATTTTTGCTTTGCAACAGTTCGAAGAACTAGGGTTCAATGGCAGCCCGAAATGGCGGAGATAAAGGCGATCTGGTTCGGTCTGGAAATGGCGGAGCAATGCGAATTAATGGAGGGTGAGGTGGAGACTGATTGCTTGAGGGTGGTTCAGCAAGTTTCGAAGGAGGAAATGGGCTTAACAGAAGAAGGAATTGCATGTGGAGAATTGGCAGAAAAGTTGAAAGAATTGGGCTCATTTACCATTCGGTTTTCGGGGCGAACTAGCAATCAAGTTGCCCACATAATGGCCCATACTCTATGTAACTGGGAAGAAACTGAAACCTGACAGTCTATGCCTCCTATCTTTATAGATTCTCCGTTACAATCTGACTCATGTACTATTTCACATTAATGGAATAATACAGGTATTTATTGAAAAAAAACTTGATTAAAAGACAGACGTCGAACGTCTAATTCATATTAATAACAGAACGTTCATGTGAAAAGAAAAGAAAAAAAAGCAATAAACCCATGGAAAAAATAAGTTCGTACGTAACAAACACACCATCGAGAATAGTTTGGCGGAGTGGACAAGTGGTTAGCCGGCTGGCTAGCTAGTGGCCTATTCACGCCTTCTTCCCCTCGTTTTTCTCTACACGACGTCATTCCGACCACCCGCCATGACGCAGCTTGGCCGACGTCACCCACCGTCATCCCTCCCTATATATACAAATTGAACCGACAACTCGTTACCCACTTTCCTTCCAAACGGCCAAACCCTCACCCCACCATTTGGTACGAAGCTTCCCATAATTTGTTTCCCTTCCCTTTCGAAAAAAAAAAGCGAATAATGGACGCAACAACCACCGGGGATAAGCCAATCAAGAAACGACGGCAGGCGGAGGGCCGAGCCCCAACGTCGACGGAGGAGGAGGAGGCGGAGGGACCGACTCGAGCGGCGGCGCCGGAGGAAGAGGTGGAGGAGTTCTTCGCGATACTGAGGAGGATCCACGTCGCCGTCAAGTACTTCGAGAGGAGCGGGGTCGAGGCCGGCAGCCTACTGAGCGCGGGGAAGAGATGGAGGCCGTCGTTCGAGAAGGAGGATTTCGTGAGCGGCGGCGGCGGGAGCGACGAGGTGGTTGCGGTTGGTGATTGTGACGACGGAGGGAATTATAAGGAAGCGGGTTCGGAGGTGGAAAGAGCGGGTTTGGATCTCAACTCGGATCCTCCGCTCGATTTAACTTTTCAACTAAACTAGATGCGGCGGCCGGCTAGTGCGCGCATGCTACTTCTATATTGTGTAGAATTTCGTTTCCTCTTTCTTCTTTTGTTGGATATGATTTTCCATTTACTAATTTGCAAATCATCTTCTAATCTTATACATGTTCAGTGCTTATGCATTGAGATCCACAGATCCAGCAAGCTAGCACAATAATTTCGTGAGGTTTTATATATGGGGTTGTGACTTGTGATCATAGGGTAATGCACTGCGGTTCGGATCATAAATTACTGATCGATTAGGTTGTTATAGTTAATTATATATCCATATATATGATTATATGTTGTTGGAATGATATAAGGATTGATTTTGTTTACAATGAAATAATATTTCACAAACTAACACAAGTTATACGATTAGAAAAAGGTGCTATAAAAGACTATACTTATCTAATGAGACTAAAGTTGTTCTTTTATAGGAAGAATCCCGCGAATGACTTTGATTTCCCTCCAATTCTTAAAATCTATTATTTATGTTGAACATATTCGGTTTGCTATAGTGTTTTTTCCAATGTTGTCAGAACCGAACCGGAGCATGACCCGGTAATGCGAACGGCTCGCACTTTAGCGGTCCAACCGACATTAGACCGTTTAAAAACCGTTAGAGAACCGGTATCTAATAAACGTTATCAGTATAAATAGTTGACATTTCTTAATCAGAGCTCATCTCTTTCCTTCGAAATTGTGAAATGGAAATAAGGATTCAATTTGAGAGCCCGACGTTTTTGGTTTATTTCAATTTTCTACAATTTTTGTAATTAAATTTTGTGTCTGAATGGCAAAAACCGGGCGAGCGGCTCGAACGGTTAACCGCCTAGGCCGCTCGCCAACCGCTACATAAAACCGGAGCGGCTTTTAGACTGTTCCGAGCCGGTTTTGTGACCGGGTGGCGGTTTTACCGGTCGGGCCGAGCGGCTCGGTTCGGCTTTAATAACACTGGTTTTTTCTTTCAGGCCAAAGATTGACTATCGTCCTAGCTATAATTAAAGTCACAAGGGGTTAATGTTTTTTTTTTTGCCATAGATCGGGAATGAAATAGATATTACAGGACGCTAGAAAACCAGACGCGACAGTCGACACAATATCGAGTTGTCGATGAAAGGGCATTAGAAGCCACTAATTGGGCAGCCCTGTTGTACAACCTCTAAGTAAAAGTACAAATAAAGATATTAAAAGACTCAGACGACAAACAAATCTCTTCTAAGATCGCTCCACCTGTCGCATGCGCCACATCACGAGATTGAATCATAATTGATGGATGCTTGTATGATCAAGGGAAAACTACGTGCCCCTGTAAAAACAAACAAACACACAAGCGCCCATACTGGAGGACAACTAAGCTCCATCGAAAGAATTTAAACAAGCCATGGAGGCTTGGTCGGATACTCCGAATCAAAAACTAACAAGGTCAAAAGAAAAATATTTTTTATTACTTTTTTTTACAGTAAAGTTAGTGAAAAGCTTATATATATGAGCAGTTACGGAAAAAAATTAAAAGATTTTAGAATTAAATTTCTGAAAATAAATAAATATTAAAATTAGGGAGGAAAGAGAAAGAACAAGCGTATCTGATACGGATCGCAGTGGAACCGTTGCTCTGGAATTGTAACCGTCAAACCCCAAAACTGAAGCCTCCTAAAGTGTAACTGCCGGCCGTCGGGATTCGCATCGTCGGAAGCAAACTTCTGATTGCTGGCAGGCTACCCCGAGCAAGAAGGGGAAGGAAAAAGGAACTGCCGGGTAATCAAAGTCCGCCACCACCACCACTTCCCCTCTTCTCCAACTACGCTCGTGAAATCGTATGTCTCGTCGGAGAAGAGCACCTCCATGGAATCCGCGAGCGGATCTGGTAGGAAGATCCTACCTCGGCGGAGAAGTGGGGGCTTGAAAGTTGTTGTTGTTGGGTAAAGTAAAGTCACAAGGGGTTAATGTTTCTTAAGAGGTTTGTTAACCTAAACAACTGTTATCATTTTTTGTATGACCCGCATGGACATCCTCCTTTTTGTGGTGGGTGACTTTTCTTTTGTCTCTCTTTTTGCTTTACCATTTCAAAAAAAAAAATCTATCTTTTACTTCCCTTGCTCACTACAAGAAACTTTACTTTTTGAGACGAAAATATTCGTCGCAAAAGTAAAGAATTCGTCGCGAAAAGATATCTGCGACGAAATCGTTCGTCGCAAAAAAATTCCAAAAAACGTCGCCTATAGTGCGTCGCTAAAAGTTCTGCGACGAAATTTCGTGATTCGTTGCAGGAAAGCTAGATTCGTCGCTGAAAACATTCATTTTTGCGACGTGAATTTCGTCGCAAAACTGCTTGAGTAGACTGTAAGGAAAGGATCTTGTACCTGCCATGTCAAGGGAACTCGGATATCAAGCACGCATGAGACAGGCCTGGATCTATGATCAGACCGTTCTTCGGACAACGAATTAGCTTCTCTTCTTATTCCTTTGCGAGTATTAGCGACGTAATTCATCGTTGCCGAAAGTTTGAATTTAGCGACAGATGTGTTCGGCGCAAATAGAAACTTTTGGCAACATACCCTTTCGTCGTCGCGGATTGTTAAAGTTTCTGCGATGAATATAATGTCGCTGATATCTTAACTTTATTAATGAAACTCACATATTGCGACGGAAATTTCCGTCGCTAAAGATAAAATTCGCGCCAATTCTGGGCTGCTTTTGTGGCGATGTCCTTGCAATTATTTTCTGTTTCAATTTTTGGGGACAAATACACTAACCTGTTCTCATAAACACCAGTCTTTTATACAAGATATTAGTAACAATTGTTCAAATTAGTAGCTTCAACATTGATTTATACCCACCATATAGACTACTACTCCGATCTCGTTCTCACATATAATCATCCATAACATTTGGAATAAGATTAGTAGCTCCCTATTTCTAGAGTTATGCACATCAAAGGAACAGATTTCACGGCATTGTACATGCTGCCGAATCATCGTCATCATTGTCCATGTCAAAAAATCAACACTAGTTGATAACCTGCACAAAAATTCAATCAACAAGCACCTTAATATGATAACTTTGGCATACCAAAACACAAGTAAAAAAAAAACAGACTAGAGAGTTTTACCAAAATTCTAAGTTAGCTAAGGATGGTTCCTTTAGCTACTGTGCACCCAAAAATACTAATCATCATAAAGCTAACCTGTACAAAAAAAAAAAAAAAAAAACAATGGAAGGCACAAGTTACTATCTTTCAACACCCACATTATATCATTCAAACACATTCGTCATTTAAATGATCCATGTATTTTAAGATGCTTAATTATATTTGAAGGATAAAAGCCTCATCGCATGAGGAGACCTACCCTTGTCTAGTATTGTGTTTAGCAAACTGTCAATTTCTATACTTTTTACTGCAAACCATGATATAGTTTATTTTACTGCAAACCTTGAAAATTACTATATTCCACTGGAATCCAACCATTTGCCTTCATCATAATGAGTTCAAGTGAGATTTAAAAACTTCTCTTACTTGTTCAACTAAACTTTGCCTCCAGCCTGAAGGCTGGCAACAATCCTCCTAAATTCAGCAAATTCTTCAAGAGCCTTTGCAAGTTGTTGATTAGACTCGTCTGGTTTTTTATTGAGTTGGGCCACATGCTCCTCAAGATTTGCACACCTATCTTGTAGTTGGCTTTTATCCTTGAATAGTTGTTCATAGTTGACATCCACATGATCTCTCCTCCTAGATGGGGCTGACTGTCCATATCCAAGTCCATGACAATATCCTGAGTTGTAACCCAAAACTATATGAAAAGCTTGATCTTCAGAAACGAGTGTGTCACTATCTTTAGAAATATCAACAAGTTCTTGCATCTTTTCCTACAAAAGTCATACAAGTAGATGAAATGGATCCCTTAAAAGTGATAAAAATGCATGACAAATAGCAATGGTCAGTAGGTAGAAGATCAATGGAACATAATAAACAATTGTTAGCCCAAGTGATGCGTGAGTAGTCTTTTAACTAAGAAACCAGATGGTTAGTGCTGGTAAGTAAAAAGCAGGCCAAGGAGCAAACTTACATATTGCTCTTTTTTTGTGTGGGTTCCTCCAAACTCAAGTATCCTCGGTATCCAACCACTTGAAGAACTCCATTTTTGACAACTCACCACTCTCTTGTTGTACTTTCTGTTTAAAATGCACACAAGACAAATTGCGAATAAGAGCTTAATATTTATTCATAACAGAAAACAAAATTTTGTAGTACTATGTAGATAACCTTCTCTTGGTACACGCAAACATAGGATGCACTACCCTCAGTGTTCAGATTTATCACTAGACTTCGATTTGCTGCATTCTTCTCGGCAATTGCCTGTGACATGCTCGTACTTGAAGTGACTAATTTCATTTAGTGTTAATCTCTATACATTCAAAGTCTCTCTTTTACTTCCCTCAGTACTTAAGTACGTACGCTACTTCTGCATGTTTATTTGCTACTTCTATACTGTGTATATTGGGCCGAGTACAACCAACAGCCCATTGTGTTTGCTGTGACTCGAGAGATGTACTGGCTACTCCAAGCTCTCCTTGTACGAGCTGGAGTCAGTCTCCTTCTCCTCCATGTAAAACCCTAAAGATGATAGATGATAGGGATATATATACATGGATTGTAAGGGCATTGGCCATAACGTAATAAGAAGAAGTAGTTCCTGTTTGTGGATGTAGGCCTCTCACATCGAGAGACCGAACCACGTAAAATCCCTATCTTCGTTTTCTACTGTGCTTGATTTTTCTCATGGTATCAGAGCATTGATCCACACAAATTAGTCATCATGTCCGGTGAAGAAGAGGCAAAGTCATCCGCTTCTTTTTTCGTCGCTCCCAACAAGGATCAAGATCCTTCGTCTCATCTGTATCTCCACCCGTCTGAAACTGCAAGCCAATTACAGGTTGGCGAAGTTCTGAATTCGAACAATTATGGGGAATGGGTCATTGAGATGACCGACTCCCTCATCATCAAGAATAAGTACGGGTTCGTTGATGGTACCATCGCGAAACCCACAGCTGATCCGGAGCTTCGAGCATGGACTCGTTGCGATGCCATCGTCAAGGGATGGCTACGTACCGCGATGGATAAGGAGGTACGTACCAGTGTGTGGTATGCAAGAACAACACAGAAAATCTGGATCGACTTGCGCGATCGTTTTGGACGAGGTAGTGCGTCACAGGCGTATGAAATCAGACGCCTCGTGAGTATGTTGCAGCAAGAAAAACTCAGCGTCTCATCCTTCTACACACAGCTGCCTACCTATTGGGAGGAAGCACAATCAATTTCTCCGTCTCCCAAGTGCACTTGTGGCCTTTGCACCCACGGGCTCGAGCGTCGAACAAAGGAAAGGGATGAAAGCAATAGGCTCTTTGACTTCTTAATGGGGCTGGACGATAGTTTTGCCATGGTCAGAACTTAAGTCCTCACCATGAAGCCTACTCCCAGCCTAACAGAGGCCTTCAATATTGTTGTTTCCGACGAGCGCGCAACAGCGTCTCATCGCTCAGAAGCGAAAACCCCAGGTTGAAGCTGCTGCCTTCAACATGCGAAGAGAGAGCGATGATGTCTCTGGGCGCTCCTCGGATGGCCGTGAAAGAAATTGCACAAGATGCACTCACTGTGGCAAGGCAGGCCACCTCAAGGAAACCTGTTTCGACCTCATCGGGTGGCCCAACATAGATGGTCGCGATAGGCGCGATAGCCGAGAGCGAGATGGTCGAGAAAGAGCTGGCGCAGGAGGAGGTAACTCCAAGGAGCGGCGCCGTCAAAACTCGGGTGATGGACCACAACCTAGAGCTTCGCAAGTTGAAGGGGACAGTCCTGTCCCAGGCTTCACGTTACAACAATTGGAGCAGTTGAAACTTTTCTTTACAAAACCCGACAATTCGGGCACATCTCCAATTGACACCCCATCGTCCCATATGGTAGGTATGTGTCTCCCTAGCTCAGAATGGTTAATCGACTCGGTATATAACGAGCATATTGTTTATGATGACTCCATGTTACACGAGATTGTCAGTGATTCTCCTAGCTAGCCGGTTAAGATTCCAAATGGAACCAGCGTCCCTGTTTCTAAAATTGGCACCGTACAGTTATCATCTGGCTTGAAATTGAATAGAGTCCTTCATGTTCCACAGTTTCATTGCAATCTTTTGTTCGTCAGTCGTTTAACGAAGGAAAACAACGTGGCTTTGATTTTTCTTCGTGATTTTTGTGTTCTCCAGGACTTACAATCCAGGAGCGTGATTGGGAAGGGGATTCTCCGTGATGGAATCTACTTTCTACGACTTTTCGAGCCAAGTCCCTTTGCTGCAGCTGGAGGAAGTGAAGTTTCGGCCAAGTCTTGGCACTCAAGATTGGGGCATCCATCTACGGCAAAGATGCACCAGCTTGCTAGTCTTTTGTCTCCGCATTTGCGTGTTAGTGAAGAATTTTGTCATTCATGTTCTCGTGCAAAGAAAACTCGAATGGTTTTTCCTTACAGTTCAATAAAGACGACAAATTGTTTTGAGCTCATTCATCTTGATTTGTGGGGAGGTTACAGTATTTCGTCTCTTAGTGGTGCACACTACTTCCTCACCATCGTTGATCATTTTAGCAGAGCAGTGTGGGTGTATTTGCTTCATTTCAAGTCTGACGTTGCTAAATATCTGCTCATGTTTCTTGAGATGTTCCGTACATATTTTAAGAGTCCGGTACTGCGCATTCAGACTGACAATGGAACAGAATTCCAGTCCGCGCCACTCCGTGACTTCTATATTCAGCATGGCATACACTTTCAAACAGTTGCACGGACACCCCTCAACAAAACGGAGTCGTTGAGCGCAAGCACCGGCACATCCTTGATACTCCTCGTGCTCTCTGTTTCCACGCAGGGCTGCCTATCCAGTTTTGGGGGGAGTGTGTCATGATTGCTGTCTACTTGATCAACCGTCTACCCACTACTGCCACTGGCAAGACTCCGTTCGAGATACTATTCAGCAAACCAGCTTCCTATCACCATCTCCGTACATTTGGTTGCTTGGTCTACGCCAAGGATACTCATCGTGGCCTGCACAAGTTCGTTGATCGTGGTCGTGCTTGCGTTTTCTTGGGTTATCCTCCCGATCAAAAGGGGTATCATCTTTATGACCTTGTTTCTCAGAAGATACTCGTTTCTCGGGACGTCCTCTTTGTGGAAGACCACTTCCCGTTCCGTTCGCCTGATCAGCAATGCCTCCACTGGGTTCCTGCCAAGAATTTCACTTTTCCTGTCGAAGAGGTTGTTGGGTTGTTTGTTGCACCAGACCCCCTTCAGTCCGGTGAGTCGGCCACAACACCTGGCCCGCCCCATTCATCCGTGGCAGAACCCTGGCCCTCACCATCGTCTGGGCCGTCATCACCTGGGCCCGCGTCTTCGTCTTCGCCCGAACCTGCGTCACCTCCCAGGCCCACGACCACAGGGTTAAGCCCTGTCCGCCCTCAGTCTAGCCCAATTCCCGTTCATTCGGGTCATCACCAGTCCGAGCAGTCCTCTCCAGCTGAAGCACCGCTTGCACCATCCGACGAGAATTCCCCTCGACGAAGCGATCGTGTCCACAGTCGCCCAAAAAATTTGGCAGATTACGACACGACAGTATATGCAGCTGACTCCGTTCGTTATCCCTTGTCGGCCCATGTCAGTTATGGGCGGGCAACGCCTGAGTACCGTGCGTTCTTGGCCTCTGTCAGTAGCCATGACGTACCAAAGAACTTCAATGAAGCCGTCTTTCATGCTCATTGGCGAGAAGCCATGATCCGTGAAATAGCTGCCCTTGTTCAAACGGGCACGTGGAGTCTTGTTCAGCCTCCCTCCGGTCGTCGTATCATCGAGGCAAAGTGGGTCTTTAAGATAAAGTACTACCCCGATGGCACTATTGAGCGTTACAAAGCTCGTCTTGTCGCGAAAGGATACACTCAGATTGAAGGAGTGGACTATCACGACACCTTTGCGCCAGTTGCAAAGCTGGTCACTGTTCGTTGTTTGCTTGAAGTTGCCGTTAACCACGGTTGGTTTATTCATCAGCTCGACGTAAACAATGCTTTTCTGCATGGCGATCTAGATGAGAAGGTATACATGAAAATCCCTCCTGGTTTCGCTGAGAAAGGGGACACCAGGGTCTGTCGCTTGCACAAGTCTATCTATGGGCTTAAACAGGCTTCACAGAACTGGTATCACAAGTTCACCGCTGCTCTTTGTGAACTTGGTTTTCACTCCTCACCTGCCGATCACTCTCTCTTCATCTACCGCCGAGGTGCCACTTTCGTCACTACCCTCATATACATCGACGACGTCATTCTTGCGGGCAATGATCTGTCTTTCATCACTCAAGTCAAGCAATTCCTTGATCACCGTTTCAGTATCAAGGACTTAGGGCCTCTCCGTTACTTCCTCGGGATTGAAGTTGCTCGTTCTCCCCTTGGGATTGTTCTCAGTCAACGTAAATACACTCTGGATATTCTTGAAGAAACAGGTATTCAGGGTGCTCGTCCCAGTGCATTTCCCGTTGAGCAAAACTATCATCTTACCCGTGTCTCTTCTGCACCTCTTGCTGATGGCTCTGCTTACCGCCGTTTAGTCGGCCGTCTCCTCTACTTGACCGTAACTCGGCCCGACATCACATATGGGGTAAATATCCTTAGTCAGTTTGTTCATGCTCCTACACAAGCCCACATGGATGCCGCACACCGCATCCTGCGCTACCTCAACCAGGCACCTGGTCAAGGCCTCTATTTCCTAGCAAATGGCTCACTTGATCTCGTTGGATACTGTGACGCCGACTGGGTTGGTTGTGAGAGTACCCGTTGACCCACTAGTGGCTTCTTTATTCGTCTCGGTCATGCTCCTATCTCGTGGCGTACCAAGAAGCAGAAGGTTGTCGCCCGTCCTTCCGCTGAAGCTGAGTACCGGCAATGGCTACCACCGTCAGTGAACTTATTTGGCTCCGTTGGCTGCTTAGCGAGCTCGGTGTTCCCCAGTCTCATCCGACTCCTCTCTTCTGCGATAATCAGGTTGCCCTACACATTGCTGTCAACCCTGTTTTCCACGAGCGTACGAAGCATGTTGAGATGGATTGTTACTTTGTCCGTGAGCGAGTAGTCTTTCGCGATATTACCCCCTGTAAGATTAGCTCCCAGCTCCAGGTGCTGACCTCTTTACCAAAGGGCTAGGGGCCGATCGTTTCCGCCTTTTGTTGTCCAAGCTGAATGTTCGAGACCTCCACAGTTCAGCTTGAGGGGGCGTATTGGGCCGAGTACAACCAGCAGCCCATTGTGTTTGCTGTGACTCGACCAATGTGCTGGCTACTCCAAGCTCTCCTTGTACGAGCTGGAGTCAGTCTCCTTCTCCTCCATGTAAAACCCTAAAGATGATAGATGCTAGGGATATATATACATGGATTGTAAGGCCATTGGCCATAACGTAATAAAAAGAAGTAGTTTCTGTTTGTGGATGTAGGCCTCTCACACCGAGAGACCGAACCATGTAAAATCCCTGTCTTCGTTTTCTACCGTGCTTGATTTTTCTCAGTGTAAAATTTCGTTTGCTCTTTCTTCTCCGTTGGATGATTTTCCATTTACTAATTTGCAGGTCATCTTCTAATCATATACATGTTCAGTGCTTATGCATTGAGATCCACTGATCCAGCAAGCTAGCACAATAATTTTGTGAGGTTTTATGAGGTTGTGATCATATAGGGTACTGCACTGCGGTTGGGATCATAAATTACTGATCGATTAGGTTGTTATAGTTAATTATATCCATATATATGATTATATATTGTTGGAAATACTTGGAATGATATAGCGATTGATATTGTTTACTAACTAAATAATATTTCACAAACTAATCTACACAATATATTATGCACTTCACTCTATATCATTGTTGCCACCTTGCACTTTGATTGGTTCTCCTTATTTGGTGGAAGGGTAACTTTGACAATTTTTCAAACACTCAAGGGTCACTCATTATTATTGGACTTTTGGTTTTCTTTTTAGTAAATGCGATTAGGATTAAGAAAAAAGAAGATTTGTTTTAAGGTAAATGCTACATAATAATTATTTGAATTTTTCTCTGTGTAGATTTATTTTGTGTGGTTAAGGAAAAAACAGAGGCTATCTAAAGTTGTTTAACTCCTAAATGAGATAATGCTTGCGAATTGGATTTTGAGATGATAAAGATGATATATCGTTGTGGCGTGGATGTTTGGGAAGAGGTTCCTTCGGAATAGGTTTTTTCGCATTAGGGTTTTACGTTAAATAGATAAACCAAGCATCAACCTTCAAAAGTTTTAGAATCTTAATTTCATAGTGATTTCGGCAAACATGAAGAGGAAGAAAGACGGGAAATCTTGGCAAAATACAATCAATTTATATTGTTTTAAATTTTTTTAATTCTCA